TAATTGCAAAATACAAATTTAACAAACAATATTATGAATATAACAATACTAAACTTTTCCTTCATTCTTGATTTTTGTGCATTTTAGTTACTTGATTCATGCTCAATAATTCAAAATGTTCAATTTTAACTCATATTCAATTTTTATTCTTCCCCATAACTCTTACTAGCATAGGTCAGTATTCAAAATTGATTCCTATATAGTAAATAAGAAATGTAAGTAGAGAATACAACAATACTACCTAATCTAGAATGGTTTTAACTAAAATTTAAATAAAAAAATGTACCTCTTCGTTAACTTGCTCCTCACTAAATCTTGTCATCCCTAATAAAAGAATGATTTTTTTAAGCAGGTAATCGGTTCGATTTCGGTTCGACGACATAAATACCATATCCGCATCGCCATGAACCAGTTCATTAAAATCAAATACCATATCCGCCCCATTGCACCATCGGTTCGATTTTTTCGTCTCATTCAGTTCGATTAACCGCAATTTTCGATTTTAACGATTCAAATTGCCATCCATAATTGAGAAGAACATCGTAGTCATACTGAATGGTCCAAATAGATATTAAAAATATTTAAATATGTGTCAAACATACGCTTTAAAAGAGGTGTCTAACTCATATTTTCTTTAAAATTTTCAATTATTCAATTAATTTTCATTATTTTTGCATGATAAATTTTTCAATATAATTTACGCCATTTTATTAGAAAATTTTACGGGACATATAATGTCAAAAATTTTAGGATTGTTATGGATTAAATATAATTTAAGTTATTTTCGAATTACTTTTGCATTAAATTTAAATTTCATTTATTTTCTAGAAAAAATGTAAATTTTATTTCAATTCTCTTACTTCCTACATTCAATTTGTTTTACTTGCCGTCGGCTCTACATCTGTCAATGAAATAGTAAAGAAACCTATACAATTAGCAAAATTCATATAATAATATAGATAATGATAATTATTTTCGATAATATTTAATTATTTTTAAAAAAATTACATTTTAAATTTTGACCACAACACAAAAAGTATGAGTCCGCCCTGTTTCTTATAGCCATAGATACACGGGTAACGGTTTGTTTTTTATTTTATCAGAACTCTAGCCAAATCTCTTGCTTGTCTCTTCCATACCCAAATCAATTTTGCAAGGAAATTTGGTTGTGCAAGAAAATAAATTCAAAGGAGAAAACCTACAAAACTAAACAAAGAATAAAAGAGCTATCACTTATCAGTAGAACAAAAACGTCGGAAGATGGGCCGACTAGGTCACTCACGAGGATGAATGAGAGCACAACTTGTGGATTAGGGTTGCACATCTAATGTCTTTCTTTGGAAGCATTCTTCTCCTTTAACTACAGATACACGGGTAAATGTTTGTTTTTCAATATTATCGTAATTCTGGTCAAATCTCTGCTTGCTTGTATCTCTCATACCAATTCTCCCATATACATTTTGTACCGATAGTTAACTTGATTGTTGAAGTGTCAATGATCATCAATCCTTTTCTCCCTCGACCTTATGATCTCGGCACTAAAAAAAAGGTTAAACCCTAACCTTAAAAGTCCCCCACCACCCCTGCCCTGGAGTATCGTGAGGGAGGTAAATCGCAGGTTATGCTATCCTAGTGGTGCATGAATCATACAGATTAAAAGGGGCTGGTTGAGAGACCTATTGATGCAGGGTTCTATTGATTTTTGAGGTCGACACGCTTCAAAATAAATAATGGTGAAATTTTTTTACAAAATAAGGAAAACAAACAGAATTTATAATTCATATAAATAACATTTCAAAACATATCATTAAGCAAAAAGGTAAAAGTCATTAAAAAATAATAATAATAACTTTTTTCTAGCTAGAGCCAGAATTGATAATTAAAATAAAAAAAGAAACAAACTAACATGATTTTTATAGTTTTTGAAACAAAATCAGCCTATATTTTGCACTCAATTTTTCGAAAACTAATTTTTTTTTAAAATGCATTTTCAACCATACTTCTCCCATAAAATACTATTAGACGTAAGTTGAAAAGTTTTTCTTATTATATAACCATATATTTTCAAAAAATTACTATTCCGAAACTCATTATTGTCCAAATTTTCATTAAAATGAAATCCAAACAAGGGCTTGATGGCTCTAGGTTCATTGTAAAACACTGTCTAGATTTTACTGTCACGGGCGACGACTGTATTGACAGGTCTCGACCTCGTGTGAGCATATCTCCGAATTTTCGCGTCGAATCTCGCTAAACTACGTTCAAAAGGCACATAGATTAAGCAGAATTAAATACAATTATTTAATTAACTAATCCAGCTCCAAGCACTATAAGTCTATAAAGCTATGTACATCTAATGCACTCTTACCGCATGGCCCATTCCAAAAGCATTACAGCTATCATCCGCATTTAGCTCATTAGACAAATCGAATTATTAAACCACAACGTGCAACTCAAACCCCAATTACCCACTTTCTGCCTGTCAACCATTAATATGAATTTTTGAGATAATAATTTTTTAGAAAATATGTAATTAATATTAACATATTCCTTCTCTAAGTCAATAGTTGTTTCACGTGTCAACGAAAAGATAAAAATAAAAATAAATTATTATTTTGTCTATTAGTGCGTAACACCCTCTTTAACAGCACCAAGTTACGAACCGGGATTTGGCGTCGAAAAGTAAAATTAAAATAACAATTGGAATTGAATTTTGTTGTCAACCAATAGCCGATATATGAAATTGAAAGAAGTTCTTGACGGGGTGATGCCCTAACTTTTCTTTTCCGTTTGTCCTCATTTTGTGGAAATAAAAATTGGCGAAATAATATTTTTTGAAAACTTGAGTGGTTGAAAAAGAATAATTTTTTTCGATTTACGTATAATATTATTTTATAAAAGATTGTGTGGTTAAAAATAAGAGAGAAAAATACAATGAAATAGAATGAAAAATAATGAAGACCAAATGAGGCACATCTTAAAGCATTTACATGACTCTATTTTCGTAGATAATATTTTATACTTTAGAGAGCTCTTATCTTTACTTATTTTTTTAAAACTCATTTTCAATTACACTTTTTTTCATAAACTAAGACCCTATTTGAGTCGTGTTCTTTCAAAAAAATACATTTTCAAACAGTTATTTGACATTAATTCATCCACACATTCTAGTAAAATAATATTATACGCAAATTCAAAAATTTTCCTCATTTTTTTACCACATATTCTCTATCATTCTACTATTCTAAAATACATTCTTTTAAAATAATATGACTCAAACACACTAATTTTACACATAAATCCAAAATTTTCTTTAGCTTTTACATTAGAATACAACATAAACAGGTTATATTATGAAATGATAGTTCCATAATTACACCCTTGCAAAATTAGTCAAGATAGAGTCTCAACCAAAAAAAGAGGGTAAAAGTAAAAAAAAAACCACACCTAATTAAAAAACAAAGCATGCCCTGTTACCACCAATTTCACCTCTCTCTCTCTCTCTCTCTCTCTCTCTCTCTCTCTCTCTCTATGTACACAGACACAGTCCCCCAATTCTGAGTTAGTAAACGCCTAAAACTAGCTACCCGCAAAGCACAAAAAATGTACCGGCCATAGAAATCCAAAATCCATAGTCACCCACAAATTTTTTACCCCTCAAAACACAAGAAAAATCGAATCTGTCAAAGTAAAAATCCATTAGGTGAGTAAATCCTGAGGAGGGCATAATTCTTTCCGGAGCTTGTGGGAGAAAAGCCTGCAAGCATCCATGCTGAGGTCAATGGCAGCAGATAATGCCACGAAAGCAGCTGCATCCTCCGTGCAGTTTACATGCTGCACGCTAATCTCCACTGTCGGTTTATTACTGCATTTTCCACCAGCCCCTTCGCCTTCGACACTGGAAGACATCACGAATCCTCTGTACATACAGTAGGGCCAGAGTCCGTACCCATAATCTCCGCTGCCCTGAGGACTGCATACCGGATATGTGGCGCTGCTTGGTGTCGACCTCCCATTGAAATTATTGGCGTTACGGTTATTCAAGTCGATTACAAATTTTCCACCTTTGCTGCATCTGAGGGTGGACTCCGCCAAGACAATCCCAGCACCGGCTGGGGCAGAGTCGGGGATCAATTCAAACCTATAGCCGAGTCTATCTGTTGAGCCACGTTCACGCCATGCTTCCAGCCTGCCCCAGGGTTTCCCAGTACCATCCAGGTGACGAAGAATGAGCCATGAACCAGGATTAGACCGCCTCACTCTGTCTGAACCAGGAGAGGCAACGAATGGGGTAGCCATGGATGCAGTTGCAACTGGTGAACCCGAGAGGTCGTGGACTGTGATGGACCATCCTTTTCTTACCTTTCCAGGCCTCTCTCTCTCACTCCCAAATGAACTTAACCAACCTCTTGAACCACTTTGATCAGATGATAATGATCTGTAAATCAACAATTTTCTTAATTAACAATAAATACAGCTAACCTAACCTTAATAATCAATGAAAAGTAGATTTAGTAATAAAGTATAAGATTTTGCTTTAACTTGAAGTGAGGTTGAAACAGAAGCCTTCAATAACCATTTGTAGAAACCAGTTTCTAATTATTAAGATAAGAAGCTACTTTTTTCAGCTTTCTGTTTTCATTCCACAGGGTAAAGCATCACCGATTTATTCTAAAGCTAATTAGAGCCGTTTCGAGTAAATTCCAGCAAGAAAAATTATCAAATTTTTGGCTGGCGAATTGGATTAACAAAATTTGAACAAATAATACAAGAAAATTCAGAGAAAAATATGTACCGGCATCTTTGATTGCGCTCGCCAGTGGAACTTAAACTGAATTTGCAGGTAAAAACTGGCTGACGAATACTTCCTTGAATTTGAAAAACTTGCGGGCTGCATTCGGGTTTCCTATCGAACTGGAACACGAACCTCGGATCTGGCTCCGACTTCACGTTCAAATGAAACTGAGCACTTGAAGAACCTCTCTCTTTTCCAACATTAATCCACCCGTTGTGGAAGAGTACGGTCCGAGCCTCCGTTTCAGCAAGATCTAATGGCACGGAGATTTTTCCCAGAAGTCGACCAGAGTTCACACCACAAGTTGTGCCCCGTCGGCTTGTGTAGATCGAGATTTTGAGTTCATGCTTCTTGGTGGTAGCAAAAAGCAACGACTTCCCGGTGAGCCTGTCAAGATCAGACTTGCTAAGGTGGAAACTGGCGGCGAGTATTTGTTGGTTTCCGTCAGGGAACTGGTTGTTCTCTGGCGGAATGTACGGCACTACCGCCGTTTGTAACGAGAAACTCTTGAACTTAATTTTGCAAAAACACGGAGAGGACGAAGGATGCACCACTGACCTCGCCGGCTTGGACGCCCCCGGAATCTTCAACGCCAAATTCCCTACAGTTAACCGTACAAAAGGACACGGATCCATTACCTTTTTCCCCCAAAATGAAATATATAAACAGAATCCCCAAAAACCCAGTTGGGAAAACAATATATTTGACTTAACAGGAACAGACTTTCTTTTAGAGGATTTGCTTGGTTTAATTAAGGAAGGCGTAGGGTGTTGATACAGCAGTTAAAATGTGCTGGGGGGTAAAGAAGAAGAAATGGAAGACGAAGAAGAAGAGCCCATAGGGATGCGTGCGAACAAGATGCGCAGTACCTCCTCTCCCCCTACCACTCCTCCTTGGCTCCACTCAACGACACTCTCACTACAAATTTTTTGAATGCTGAGGAAAAAATAAAAACTCATCTTATTATCTGGATTCTGGTGAATGGGACCCCTATCTTTTTAGGTTTTGTTCAATGAAAAATTTCTCTTGAAAAATTGAACCATTGGTCATCAACTTATTAATTTTGTAGTAACTTGGTCTTGAATCTATTTCTCTTGATGATATTGTTTCCAACTTTTCAATTTTGAAAATTATTAATTCATGATTAATTTAATTGACAATAAAGTTCCATTAGCTCATTAGTAGTCTAATATCATAATATGTTGATTTGTTTTTTCAATTTAATTAGCCATTAAGTGTCATTAACTCATCAGTCTAATGTCATTCAATTGTCACCTAAATTTATATTTAAAATAATATCATTGATGACCTTAATATTAAAAATTGGAAAATACTACTTGTATGTAGCTCCCGTTTGTTTTTCATTCTTCTCTCATTAAAATGAAAAATATGATCGTTATCCATCACATCAAATCATCAAATTTGAATTTTTATTTCTTGTATGGGACCCGTAACAATTATATTTTTCATTCTAATTCTTGAAAAAATGGAAACAAACGGGCATATAAAGTGGTATTCATTCGGGTGTTCATTCCCCGCACATAAAGGACCACAAAAGCTGTCACATAATAAGTTGAAGAGCAAATTGAAATATAAATCTATAAATTGGGGCCACAATTTCCTCTTTAAAATTTTGATTGTGTGAATAGGGTAGACTGGGCGCTCCAATCCATTGCCGAAATCAAGTATTTGTGGGTTGGAATACAGCTGGATACAGCCTACAATTGATTCCGTGCCCAGTTTCACAAATTTTCAAAGTCACGTGGGGCCATCATTTTTTATTTGACCAAATTACCCTTATGCTTCCCTCATAATTACCCTACTGTTTCTGAAGATACAACTAGGAGGATAGCCCTGAGCCATCTATTCGGCCACGTGGCGTATCTAGACACTTGTTTGACAACCTGAAACTAATTTTAGTTGGTGTTTGATAGGAATTTTGAGAATTGATTTTTTGATCGTTAAAGATAAAAGTGGGTCCTATTATTTTAGAAGAATTAAAGAATGAGGTTGAAATAACGAAATAACGGTCAAAAAATTATTTTAATTGGTTTAAAATCTCCACCAAACACCCCCTTAGCCCTTGTTTGATTCCCATTTTGGGGAAAATAGTGTATTTTGAATAATAAATTGATGGACAATGTGTTGTTAAAATTAAAGAAAAAATTTTAAGTTTACGTGTAATATTATTTTATTGAAAAATATGTAGTTGAAAATAAATTTTTAGAAAAATGAGATTCAAAGAAGGGCTTTAATGAATATTCTAGATTTTTCTTTTATCTTGGTATGGGTGGGTAAATTTATTTATTATTATTATTATTTTTTTGTGCAAGTAATGTTCGTAATGACTAATATTATAGCTTCTGATAGGTTAAAGAGACGTATTTTATGGTTCATGTAGTCTTAGAAAAATGTTTAATGATTTTAATGTGCATTTGTGTAGTGTAATACTCCTAAGATTTCTAAGAAATTTATGTTGAACTCAGTTTTTGATTGGTGATGTAGTTAATAGAGTTAGGACCCGTTTGGTATAACTTTTACTTTTCTTTTGCTTCTTATAGAAGAATTTTTAGAGGGAGCTATTTTAATTTTTGTTTGAAAACTAATATTTAAAAGTATTTTCTATTCCGAAAGTGTTTTTAGACGAAACAACATTAAACCAGCTTCTTCTAAAAACTCTTCTAACTACTAAAAGCTCTTTAACAAAATTAGCCAAACGGGTCTAAAAGCAACTTTTGAACCTTAAAAACTCTTTTAAACTTTTCAAAAGTCATGCCAAACGAGCTCTTAACCTCTACTTATGGCCATACATAATGCTCTTGCACTTTTAATCTAACCATTAGAAGCACACTGCCTTCTTATATTGTCGGAAAACGATTGAAAACACTACAACAATCAAATCAATCACCTTATGCTTTGGTTGTTGGATGAATGGAACAGTACCATGTGTGCTGAAGGCATTGGTTTGTGTTCCGAAAAAAAACAAGAATTAACAATACTTGTATTGAGAGTGTAAAATTATAGTACATTAAAATAGTACTAAGTGTGAACTTTTATGATAAAAGAAATGAATTGGTTATCGTTGGATGAAAGACAAGTATATCATCTAAACGTTTGAAATGTCTTCTCCTAAATGTCATTTCTACAGTACTAGGTTCAAAGGGCATTTAATGATTCTAAAAATTAGCCACCATATAGTTTAGGTCTGAGATTTGAAAGGTGAATCAATAAGTTGTCTAAGAGAGGGTTAAATCCACCAATGACCCCTAAACTTGATTATGTTTTACCATGGCGATTCAACTTCATATAATATTTTAGTCAAGCCTCTTGGTAAATGAAACGTCATTAATTTAACGAAAAATCTTACGTGGACTAACGGTTGGCTGATGTGTTAATTTAAATATCTAGTTATATACAAATAAGTATGATGAGGACATTATTTTTGTTTATTTCTAGTTGGACTTTATTTATGTTTGAGGAAATTAGGCCCTATACCCTCATTTTTTTATTTTTTTGATTAATACCCTTTCATTAACTAAACATCTTAAAGGGCAGTAATAATTACGTCCAAAAACCACAACTTAGTCAACAAGCCCAAACCTAACCCACCATTTAGGTTAATTTATTAAAGCCAGGTGTGTAGCTATCGAATAGGAGCGACCATGAGCCGATTTGAAGTTACGGGTAGGTTTCGAGGAACTCTCCACCGAAGAACCTGATAGCTCGCCGGAGTGACTGTTGTAGTTGGAATCGGATTTTCTTGAAATATTCGAACTGGGATCAGCGACAGTCCGACCTGAGACGGATCCGGAGGAACTTGAACTGCTACTGGTGGCAGTGAATCCACCCGTGCGAGTTAACAAGGTCGAAATTGGCGGACCCAGATTGAGTTCTCGGAAGTTAACATTGATGCCATTATCTTCGCTGTAGCTCATTGTATTCCTCAACTGATTCGTCAGGCTTTCTACTGTTAACTCTGACGTCGGCACAAAGCACGACATTTTTACTCACACTCACCAACTCCACTCAGTTTCTCACAGGAGCTTAGCAATGTGCGTGAAGTTAAGGAACACATCTAAAATGGTGAAATGAAGCAACTAAGAAAGACATGAAGACGAGAGTGAGAGAGGAAAAGAGAGAGATGAGGATCTCGTGAATTTAAAGGAAGATAGACAATCTCAATTTCAATTTCAATTAAGATGTTTCAAAAGATTTTAGACAAGGCGATGGTTGGGGACAATATGGGGTTGTTGTTGAGAGATATTCAAAAGGTAGATATCCAACGGGGGACGGTTAGTGTCTAAGCCTAGGACTATCTCTCCACACACAAAGTTTGTACGTGTTGAAGGAGGAAGAGGGTGGAAAGCATTGTTACTTTTTCTAATGTTGTCAAAAAAGTGTTTTGTCTCTTTTGTTTCGGTCCGTGGAACATATTTTAATTTGCCTCACTTTTTTTAATCTGTCACCTTTTTTAAACTTCTGTCACTTTTTTTTTTATTTTTTATCATTTTTTTTTTTGTTTCGGTCCGTGGAACATATTTTAATTTGCCTCACTTTTTTTAATCTGTCACCTTTTTTAAACTTCTGTCACTTTTTTTTTTTTATTTTTTATCATTTTTTTATTATTATTTGTCACTTTTTTTCATTCACTTTCTTGATTTCTATCATATTTTTAATAGCAAATATCACTTTTTTTTTTTTTTTTTTATTTTTTATCATTTTTTTATTATTATTTGTCACTTTTTTTCATTCACTTTCTTGATTTCTATCATATTTTTAATAGCAAATATCACTTTTTTTTTTTTTAATAAAAGTGACATTGTATGTCATATTAAACAATGCCACTTTTTATTAAAAAAAGTGACAATTAAGGGGTTGTTTGAGCCCATTTTCTTCAAAAAAGTATTTTCAAATAGTGTTATGATGGAAAATGTGTGGTTAAAAAATAAGAAAAGGTTTTGAATTTATGTATAATATTATTTTATTGAATAATATATGGTTGAAATAAAGTTAAATCACTGTTGACGAATAAATTTTTTGATTGAAAAATGGGGCTCAAACAAGGGCTAACTTTTGAAAGTGACATAAGGCCACATTGTATCACTTTTTTTAATAAAAGTGACATTTGTGTCACTTATTTAAAAAATTGTCACTTTTTTTTAAAGTGATATTTTTATAAAAAGTGATATTGAATCCTCGACACACTAATTATGTTAAGAAAATAATTACTGGTATTGCACAAATGGATGATATTATTTTAGTGTTTGTTAGTTTATTTTTTTGAATTTGTATCACTTTTTTTTTCAATTTTGTTACTTTTGGAGTGTTTCACTTTTTTAAATTTATGTCATATTTTTTTGAATTGTGTCGGAAAAGTGACAATTTTTATAAAAAAAAGTGACATTGTGTCACTTTTTAATTTTACATAGTATTTTTTACTTTCAAAAAATGTTTCATATGATTTTTCAAAACATTCCAAATTTTAAGGGTATTTTTGTAAGTTGCCCTTTATGTTTTAGATTCTATTTATGTAATTGGGCTTGTATTGGCCCAAGCCCGTTCTAGGTAGGTTTTGTCCTTACTATTTAAACCTAATTTCTCATGTAATTTCATTGCTTTTGGATGAATATAAATTATTGAGATTGATTGTGACATCTCATTCCTCTCCTTTCCCACTGATTTTCTACTTTTTCTCCGATTTTCCCCATTCTCTCTTGTTCTCCCTCCCTTTCTTGTTATTCTCTTCTCTATCCTACATAAAATTTGGTATCAGAGCCAAACCTTGGATAATTTCTTTCTTATAATCCAAAATTTCTTCCTATTTTCTTTCCAAAATTTATTGGAACATCACAAGTGAAAAGATTTAGTGTAAGAGCAGGACTTTTCATTCTTTCAATTTTCTTTCTTTGTGAAAAAAAAAGAGAGTTACTGTTCATGGGGTATTGTTCA